GCGAGACGGACCAACGGCACCCAGTTTCGTCGTCAGTGACTTCATTTCCCGCTGCCAAGTCAACTTCTGTCCACCTCGAGCCTTGCGCCATCCTACACCTGGTAGACTGAACAAGGCCCTCCTAGGTAAGCGGTGACCAGGCATACGTAGCAGGTGCCCGAACCAACGCAACCTATTCAGTGCTATCTGTTGTTCCAGGGAGCTAGCATGATCATCACCACCTAGTACTCGACTACGCACATCATCGTTGCGGACACGCTGGTGCCATCCGACACCAGCAATGCTTCGCAAACAACGATGATCGAAGACTTGAAGGCGCCTCAGATCTTCAGACCGAAGGGGACAAGTCTCACTCCCACAGAGCAGAACGGCCCTCACTGTGGCCTTGTACACACGGCCTTTCAGACGGAGGGAAACTCCCTACTGTCGCCAAAGATGACACAGGCTCAAGAAGGCAGCTCTGGCCTTTGCAATGCGTGAGCACACGTTAGTTTCTATGCGCCCATCATTGCTGATGCAGCTGCCAAGATAAGTGAAATGATCAACCACCTCGAGTTGCTCGTTAGCAAGCGTCAAGAGGTCATCGAGTGGATGGTGGTCCTGCAGCAACACTTTGCACTTTGAAGGTGCGAAGTGCATACCAAATAATGGGACCACTCTGGACATGCTATTCAAGGTTGATTGTGCCGCCTCAACATTGTCGAAAAGCAAGACGATATCGTCCGCATAATCTAGATCAACTAACCGTTCATCAGGCAGCACTTCAACACCTACATCGTGAGATTCCGTCAGGGAACACTCCATGATAGAATCCACGACGAAATTGAACAAAAACGGGGAAATCGGACAACCCTGTCGAACGCCACTTGTAGTCGAAAAGCTATCCGATAGGGCACCGTAGACCCTGACGCGGCCTGTAGTGTTCGAGTATAGAGCACGAAGGATGTTCACATATTTCGTGGGAACACCTTTTCGCGCAAGTAATTCGAACAGAATCGATTGATCGACTGAATCAAACGCACTCTTGAAATCGAGGAACACAGCCATTGTCGGTCTGCCATAAGCGTGGTGCTGCTCTAGAACCTGCCGCAAAGTGCATATATGGTCTATACAGCCACGTCCTCGGCGAAAACCGGCCTGCTCTTCTCTAATCCGAGATTCCCGTTCTGCAGTGAGGCGACGAACGATAATCGAGGCCAGTAATTTTGTCACAACTGGCGTTAGGCTAATACCCCTGTGGTTCGCACAGTTTGTGCGACTGCCCTTTTTGTATATTGCCACTATAATCGATTCGCCCCAATTAACCGGCACACTCTTCGTTCCAGATACGTTCGAATAGGGAGGTCAGTGCTTTGCAGAGGACCTCACCTCCATCCTTAAATACTGCAGATGGGAGGGAATCCGGACCAGCGGCACGAAAACCATTGAGGGCTGTGATCGCGTTTCGGACCTCGGCCTCCGACGGAGGCTTTAAACTAACCGTCCATGATTCGTCCTGCATCACCTGAGTAGGAAGAGGTCCGGGAGCAGGGGGCCAGCTGAACTGATGTTCAAAGTGCCCAGCCCAACGAGCCATACGGCGCTCCTTATTGTGTATCAGCGCACCCGCGCTGTCCCTGATTGTCTCGCTGACGCCTGGTTTTCTCGGACCAGTGGTGCGTATTAGCTGGAAGAGCTTGCGGTAATTGCCTACTGCTCCTGCCTCCTCCATTTCTCTAGCCCGACCGGTCCATCAGGCTTCCTTGTCAGCACGTAGGCTCCGCTTTAGTTCACGCCTAATAGCCCGTCTGGTCACATTGTGTTCAGAACCAGCCGGGAGGTGCCTTCTAGCTTCCAACAGGGTCACGGACCTCTCGGATATCCAGTGACTGGTGCGATGACGACTGATAGTGCCACAAACAGATGCTCCTGCGTCGTGCATAGCGGCCGAGATCCTATTCCACTGAAACTGTGTCAATAGAACAAGACAGCGAGAGTTCGCTATGCAGTGCTTCTTGATAGGCTTGCCTGACGGAGGGCTGGGACAATTTCTCCGTTGCCAATCGGGGGAGACGCTTTGTGCGCCTTCCGGTAAAGTTCATGGAGAAACGACAGCGCACCAAGGCATGATCAGAGTCGACACAGGTACTCCAGTACGAGCGGCAATCCAGAATGAAATCGTGCCACCTGTAACTTATGGCTATGTGGTCAATTTGGGTCCATCGCTGGCCAGCTACAGGTGGACGCCAAGTGGCACTTCGGCGCTCACTGTGTCTAAAAGCAGTGCTAGTAAGAAACAACTGGTGCTCTGCACACAGTTGCACCAGACGCTCGCCGCTGTCAGTCCGTTCGGCGTTAAGTCCATACTTACCACCCAGCTGAGCTTCTGAAGAGCTCAGACGCCATACTTGTGCGTTCATATCCCCTGCAAGTACTATAATATCTGAACTAGTAGCACTGCGTAGTAGGGCGTTCAGTTCGTGATAGAAAGTGTCCTTGACTGCATTAGAACTGCAGTCCGTGGGAGCATAAGCAGAAATCACAAGCAAACAGCGTTTTGTTTTACTTCGCGAATTCACCTTAGCTGATGTCGTCAAACGGGCTGCACATAAACGGCTGTTCACCGGAATCCAATCAACCAACGATGACTCAGCCTTGGAGCTGAGAATGATACCTACACCAGCTTGACCCGTGAGTGCCGCATCGGCGTCTCCGGATGCGTGCAACCAATAACGAGAGGATAAGCCGGGTGCAGTCAATTCAATAACCCCGTTAGGGTCATTAATCCTAGTTTCGGACACACAACACACATCAACACCCAGTGTGTCCAAGGTGCGTGCGAGTGCAGCCTGCTGACCTGTTTGTCTTAGAGTGCGGACGTTGAATGTCGCCATGGAAACGGGACAGCGTGGCCTTATAAGGAACTTTTGCCGATAGGTGCTGTGGGATGGTGGCTGCAGACGGTACTACTCCAGTAGCACTTCGGTTGCTGTCAATTAAGCTGGGAATTATAGAAGGAAGGTTAGTAATAGGGGCCGGGATGGGAGTAAGAGAAAAAGGTTGAAAAGAAAGAAGGGAGGCGCCAGCAGTAGCATGCTTTCGCTTATCCGCTTTGCTGTATGCAGCAGATAAGGCGACCCTTGATAATCTGCGCGACGGCCGATGCAGGATGAAGTTTATGTTTGAAGAAAATGTCATGGTTGTATGTGGGCTGGGATACTGTCAGGGCGCCCAGACCTAGACAGGAGAACGATTAGGGTCCTCATCCAAAGCTTTTGGCTCAAAAGCCTGTCCGCAAGGCAGCGGGGTGGCAGTGAGTTAGTTTTACAGAAATGGACGCCATCCCATTTCAAACCCCCAACGTGGAGGACCAGGAGACTGAGTTTGTCTGACCTCTCACCATTGACCAACCTGGTAGGAGTAGCTCTCAAGATGCTCGGCGGCATCACCCAGTATAGCTCAATGGGTCAATGAGGTACGCAAACCGTCGCACCACGTTAAGGTCCAGTCTCGTTGCGACGGGGGAGCCCAGAGAGCGATTCAAGAAGACAGATCGAGTTGCAGGGAACTTTATTGGTACAATAAAAGATCCCGTTATCTAGCTATAAAAGAACGACACCGTGTACGCTCTAGCTAAGGGAACGCAGCAAGCACAGCACACAGAGCAGTTGCGAGTTGCAACCGAAACGAGCGCCAAGCAAAAATGGCGATGAGCAAGTCAAGCATTCTAAAGCAGTTCAACAAACAACACCGGTTGCGTAGGTGTACAATGAAAGAATTTTAGTTAGAATTTTACACAGGCAAACGGGGGAATCTCTAGACTCCTACGTTTTCACTGGATGATAGCATACTGTACTGATTCGCTCGGAGGCCGGTACAACTATTGTGATTTCAGCGGAAGCAAACATCACACTGCATACCACCAAATGAATCCGTAACTTGTCTTGAACAGGCAGAATTGCCGCAAGCTGCATTGGACTCATCAAACGAGGACCCAAAGATTTCATCCGCCTCGGTTTTTAGCGAACGACCATGCTTAAATTGCAAAACAGAGCAGAAGTTAGAAAACGTACACAACCGTGAAACGAGCACAAATAGGCAAAACAAAGTATGAAATGTGATTAAAAAGGGGAGCAACGGCAAATATTACCAGTATGCGTCAAGGAGACGCTATGTCCAGTAGCACTTTAATCGATCCAAGGTAGCTTGGATCAGAGGAAAATTGACAATAGTCAAATTTTGATTCAAGTGTTTATTTAAACACCGTTTTCCATAGCACTGCAGTTAGGTAACTTGATCAGTATGTCACGCCAAAAAATCTAGTTACTGTAATATTCCTTCGGTCCGGCGTTCTGAGCTCTTCCGTGTCCAAGTAGTGTGACAAGCTGCAATGCAAAATAAATACCTCGTAGACGGCTGTACGCTCGAGCCGCCTAGTAAGAGGCCGATGTGAAGGAAGCAGCTAAGGAAGCACGAAAGAGGAAGGAAGAGTGCCGGAGAGGAATATGAGAGTAATGATAACAGGAAGCAAAACCGACCGACCTCTTACCTGTTAACGTGTTACCGTGATGCCCGCGGACCGGCTACATTATCCCCCCTCTTATCAGGCGCTGTCCTCAGCGCCCCTAATGGCCCATACCGGCATCAATTTATGTGCCTGCCAGAGGCATTGAGCACGGTATATTAGGCTCGGGAGATACAACGACAAGCAGCACGAGGGTAGAAAGTTAACTGTTGCCTCCAGGGCCACAATCTAGCTCGGTGGACTGCTGTCGTGAACTGGCAGGGTCGCCAAATATGTAATATTCCTTCGGTCCGGCGTTCTGAGCTCTTCCGTGTCCAAGTAGTATGACAAGCTGCAATGCAAAATAAATACCTCGTAGACGGCTGTACGCTCGAGCCGCCTAGTAAGAGGCCGATGTAAAGGAAGCAGCTAAGGAAACACGAAAGAGGGAAGGAAGAGTGCCGGAGAGGAATATGAGAGTAATGATAACAGGAAGCAAAACCGACCGACCTCTTACCTGTTAACGTGTTACCGTGATGCCCGCAGACCGGCTACATTACCGCGTGGAACCCACAGTACACACGTTGAACGGTACGCTTGGCGGTAAATTGAAATTTTTAAGCTTGCTGTCTTTTTAGGGTTTGCTTTCAAAGGACAGTTCCGGAACAGTATTTACAAGTGCCGTGCAAAATTTTGACGTTTGTCGACTTTCGCTTGTTAAAAAGAATTTTGGATCATCGTTTTCCCCGGATTACGTCGTACCCGTTTACGGTCAGGTCAGGTCAGGTCAGGTCAGGTCAAAATCGGTGGACGATACAGGCTTCCGCCTAACGAGCGTCCAGCTTCTTGTACCGGTAAGTGAACCAGAGCCCCCGGCACTTCGACTTTTGATCGCCTCTCCTTGCCTCTGCAAAAAGAAATGAAGCAAAAGCGAGAGCAATCTTTGCTTTTACAAGGATCAACATCGGATATCAATAAGAATAAATTGGATAGGATTATATTAATTCCGGAAAAATACGCGGCCAGCACCTGTCTAGGCCTGCTTTGAAGGCAACTACAGTCTCACAATCCATTAGTTCCGAAGGCAACTTATTCCAGTTGCGCACTACACGATTCGAGAAGAACTTAGCCCTGACGTTCAGTCTAGCCCTCTGCTGTTTGAGCTTCAAGCGATGTCCACGCAAGCGTTCAGAATCAGCCAGCTCAAATAAATCAGAGGGCACGATGGCACTGAGGCCCTTCATGATCTTAAATGTTTCTATCAGATCGCCTCTCAGTCTACGCCGTTCAAGGGAAAACAACCCCAGGCTCTTTAGGCGATCTTCATACGGCTTCCCCCGTTGACCTTCAACCATCCTTGTTGCTAGTCTTTGAATCTTCTCCAGGCAAAAACATCACCACGGAGATAGGGCGACCAAGCTTGAACACAGTACTCTAAGTGTGGCCTAACCACTGCTTTGTATAGTGGCAGGAACACTTCTGGCTTGGTATTACACAGAACCCTCCTGAGGCGAAACAATTCTCGTCGCGCTTTATTGGCGGCGTATCGACATTGCATCGAAGGCTTGAAGCTGCTCGTCATGATGACTCCTAAATCGCGTGCCTGGGTACTTGTTGAACGTCGTCCATTTTTTCGGGATCAGCCTCTGGCTTCTTTCCGGCATTTTTGTGTTGTGTAATCGGTTTTGCACTTTATTTAAAGCAAAACTGTCTCTGTTGACGGCCCTGCAGGTAACAGCTTGTCGGTTTTCTGTTTTGACGCTTGTTTCACACTCTTTGAAAGCTTCATGTCGGATTTCTAGCAGTCTGGAGATTCCCCGGTTAGTCTGTGTAAAATTCTAACTAAAATTCTTTCATTGTACACTTAGGCAACCGGTGTGGTTTGTTGGACTGATTACTGGGTTCGAATGCTTGACTTGCTCATCGCCATTTTTGCTTGGCGCCCGTTTCGGTTGCAAGACGCGACTGACCTGTGTGCTGTGCATGCTCCGTTCCCGTAGTTAGAGCGTCCACGGCGTCGTTCTTTTTTATAGTTAGATAATAGGGTATCTTTTACTGTACCAATTAAAATTTCCCTGCAACTCGATCTGTCTTCTCGAGTCGCTCTCTGGGCTCCCACCAATTTAGAGGGTCGCCTGTACCGGTAGTCCAGAGAGCGATTCAAGAAGACAGATCGTCGCAGCGAAACTTTTATCGGTGCAGTAAAAGATTCCCTGTTATCTATCCATAAAAGAATGAGACCGTGGACGCTCTAGCTAAGGGAACGGAGCATGCACAGCACACAGGTCAGTCGAGAGTTGCAACCGAAACGGGCTCCAAGCAAAAATGGCGCTGAGCAAGTCAAGCATTCGAACCCAGTAATCAGTCCAACAAACCACACCGGTTGCCTAGGTGTACAATGAAAGAATTTTAGTTAGAATATTACACAGGCAAACCGGGGAATCTCCAGACTGCTACAGCTTTATTGAATAGCGGCGCTTAGGTGTATTCGGCTGCATTGATCAGCTAATCTAATGCTACGTGCGGCAGCGGGAGCTGCTCAAAGCCCGTGACGGACGAGTCTGGTGACATGCTGTGCTATGTATGCAACTGCTGGTGCCATGAGACCTGTACTGATTTGAGTCCTGATCAGTACGCAATGCTTTCGACTAGCGATAGCAGGCGGTTGAATCGTCTTCTATGCCGTCTCCGTCGATCTACGACTCTTGAGGTCACTGAGGAGACGTCTAGCTACGTCGGGCTGGGTAAAAGATAATTGTGGTCTTTCCTCACATCGCTAGATCGGAAGGTAGAGTTACTGATGAGGAATATGGGAGCCTCTATTGATGTCGGCTCATTGGAGGAAGACATGCAACTAACCTCAATTGCTGGCGATGAAAATCCCACTGAGGTGATGGCTACTGCGTCGTGTGTCCTAGCGGTACAGAATGCCTCTAATGCGGCCTCTGATTTCGTACTGGAAGCCGTCCAAAGAGAGACCGAACTTATGGCCACTGGGCCAATAAAAGCAAGAGCCCGTACGGCTGCCTCAAAGCATGAAGGTACTGAAAGCATTAAGGTATTGGAGGTGGAACAGTGCTCCAACTCCAATCACCCACGTTTCTTTGGCGAAGCAACGCGCCGTGTCGACTTCGGCTACACCCGCAAAGTCTGAAAAGACTGGACCGTTGAGGGAGTTGGAGGCAGAACATAACGCCTCAACCTCAATTACTCCAACACACTAGGCGAAGAAGCGCGTCGTGTCATTTTCCAAACCGGTCGAAACTGGTGTCGCCTCGAAGACGCGTGGGGTGAGTACGCCTCGTCGAGGTGATTCTTTTACTGATATTAGCGTTACCTTTCGTAACGTTGCTGAATCCGCGGCAGCTCTTCCAAAGGAACCTCCAGTGGTTCAAGCTCTGCGTCAACAAGCTGCTTCCACCTGGTTTCCCCGGTGTCACTATCAGGAAACTAACCAGATTGGCGAACGTCCCTGTACACACGCCAAATCCTCGACCCGACTACTTCGTTTAGTCCTCTCAACCCCGGAGGAATGCAAAGCTTTAATGCGCTTTACATTCAAACCCAATGGTAGTAATGTCAGCGTTCAGCCGGACCTCACACTGCCAGATCGACTGAAGTTAAACAAAGCCATCGAAAGCCTCGACAGCAGGCGGGCGGCTAGTGAGCAAGGCCTTCGTCTTGTGATTTTTCAGGTGGCCAGCCGGAGGCCAAATTCTGCCCTACCAGAACCCCACCTGGTAGCGTACGACCCAGGGCTGGTCGTGTCGAATTCCTTCGAGTAGAGCTTAGTAATGTGCGTAGCCTAAGTAACAAGTTATACGAGGTGGGTCTACTTGTAGACAAATCTCGCCCCAACATACGTGCTATCACCGAAACGTGGCTGTTACCGGGTATCATAGACGGTGAAGTATGGTTGCTTGGTTACGCACAGTTTAAATGCGATCGCTCCGTTGGTCGCCAATGTGGGGGCGTCGCTCTTTATGTGACTTGTAAACTTGCTGTGTTGAGGACCTGTGCGTTTCAGTTGCTGGATCAAACCGCTGAAGCTCTGTCGACTACGGGTGCACTTCCTCTGCTCAGTTTACAGTTGCAGTGGTATATCGAAGTCCTGGAAGTATCTCCATGGGGTTATTGAATTTATCCGTACTCAGGCTGACAGTAGATGTTTAATACTGAGTGAGTTCAACCTCCCTGAAGTCTGTTAGGCTGGCCTACCTTGCATTTCGGTGGTGGACACTATCGGTTTGGATCTCCTTGTGATAACATTGCAACTGCCTTTGCATCAGTTTGTGGACCTCCCGACTAGATATATGCGCAAATAAATCCCATCTACCTTGGATCTCATGTTTGGGAAGTCAAACGATTTCGGAAGTGATATTACGTACGGCCATCCTCTAGGAGCCAGTGACCATGTCTGCATATTCTTTCGATGCGCTCTAACTAAGTGTCATCAAGCTACCGCTGAGGCATGTCCAAATATTTGGCGGGCAGACTTTAACGCAACGCGAGACAAAGCTTCATTTCTGTGTTGTGCGATCGTCGTAGCTGACACCGTTGAGACAGCCTGGGAGAACGTTAAGACATACTTCGCCGAGGTCTCTGCTCCCCACATCCCACTCAGTAAGAGACGGGTGGCACGGACGCGGCCTCCATGGATAGACCATACAGGTAAATACCTGCTCAGGAAGCGCTCTATTGCTGGCGAACTTACCAAGCGGCTGCATCAATCAGCACCTACGAAAGTTATAGAACGGTTAGAAATAGATGTAAGCAACCTCTTAGAACTCTTCGTCTTCAGTACGCGGAGGATTTGGCTAACGCAGCCGTAACAACTCCAAAGTTCTTTGCTTAAGTAAAGAGATGTAGCGTTACAAACTCGTCTATACCGGCTTTATTACGAGCGGATGGGACCATGGGCATACTGACTATGATAATGCTTGTATACTTAGCGCACAGTATACTGGTGTCTTTTTTCCTGAGGCCTTTCTACCTCAGGTTGAGCTGGTCACCAAACTTCCGAAGGATCCTTGCCTAACTGCAATATGCATAACGGCGACACAAGTCTTCGGCCTATTGCAGGGGCTAAATCCTGCCAAAGCTTCTGGCCCCGCTTCAATTTATCCGAAGCTGATGCATGAATTGGCCTCGGAGCTAAATGACCATCTGACATGCAGGTTTATAATATCCCTTGACAGCTGTGCCTTACCTATTGTATGGAATAAGGCAACCATCTGTCAGATTTTTAAGGGCGGTGACAGAGTTCTGCCCGCGAACTACCGGCCTAAACAAGTGTAGTAGTTAAGTTGTTTGAAAAATTGGTCAGGGATTCGGTGGAGAATCACATGATTAAGTTTAACCTTCTCAGTGCGGCCCAGCAGGGATTCCGTAAGGGATTTTCATGTCTGACAACTTTATTTGCAGCTCGTGAAAGCTGGGCTGAGGTAGCAGAAAACGGTCACGCCATCGACGTGCTTTTCGTTGGCTTCTCGAAAGCCTTTGACACTGTTCCACCTCAACGACTCTCATTGAAGTTGTGATCGTATGGGATATCTAGAGCCGCCCTTAAATGGG